TGCTCAAATATTGTAGTTCTTTTCAAAGTAAAATTTAAATGCCTGGAAACACAGTGAATTTTCCCTGTGCTTGGAGTCCTTTTAGTTTAGTCTCTGTTCTCAGATTAAATTATCTGCTTTTCTAATGGTATTGGTTTAATATTCCTTGCATTATTAATGAGATATCCCCTCTGACTAGACTCCAGACTCTTTAAGTAAAAGGATCTTGTCTTACTAACCCTTTTATAGACTCCAGTATTCAGAAAAAGTGTCTGTATCATAGGAAGCAGGAATTTATTAATTAAATGACTACACAAATGTGTCATTGTAGTATTGGCAACATTATTCTCTATGTTTTAATATTTTTTACCAAATAATTCACTAGACTATTTGCTTCTAATAGTGGACTTTGAGCCAGCTGAAGCCTTCCACATCTAATTCTAGCTTGTGGCTTCTATGATAATCTTTACTCACAAACCTTATATTCAAGCGTTTTAAAGACCACATATTAAATAAAAACAGTTAGGCTGTCAGGGAGAGTGTAATGCCTGTTCACATGGGAAAACATAGCTGTAAAGTTTGAGATTTAAATATTATTGCTCAGAAGGTTTCTTTTGTTGAATCCACAGTTTCCAGAAATCTCACTTCCATAAAAACTGGGTATTGTATTCTAGGAAAAAAAATCAACCTTTCTTCAGAGAATGGCCACAAGACCTCTCTGATGAATGAGTTTTGGTGTTCAGAACTCAGAAGTAGACAGCTGTCACAGTGCCACTAAAGAGTCCTCTCAATTGGAGCAGATGGCACTACTTATTTGACCATCAGATGTTGTTCTGAAGTATCAGTTAGCCAACTGCTTCAGAGAGTTATGAAAATAGAAGATTTATTTAGGGCCTGAGGATTCAAGCACAAATGTTTGTCGCCACAGAGTTTAAACTGATATGGAAAAATTACAATCAACCAATATCCAAGGCAGTTCCAGTAGAAGGTGTGGTGCAGAGCCCCATCCTGCATATGAAGGCATAGCTGGAAAGTATTTCTGTGGCCAGCTGGCTTATAATCTCTTCTATGTAAGCTTCCCCTGAGATATGCAGTAGCCACAGGCATACTCACACATTCACACACCCCAGCAAATGCATTCCTACAAGTACAGTTGCTAATTAGTTTGAAATTTAAATAGAATATCTCTTAGAAAACAGCTGGGTCAACTGTGGCAGGTCTGTGAAAATATTCACAGTATGTGTTGGTGGTCTACATCAGAAATAACAGCCTTTTCTGGCTTATCTTTAAGGTAGCAGCTGCAGTTCTGTGTTCCTTTTACCAATACATCACAATCTGGACCTGCTGCACAGTTACATGGAGTATAATGGTCAGATCACAGGTATGACTCATTCCTCATTATAATTAAAATCTAATTAATTAATACTTTGCTCACCACTGTTCATAATACAATTTTAAGTACTTTCATAATAGTGATATATCATTAATTACATATAGAATTTAAAGACAGTTCATACTGCTTATTCAGCAGAATGCTAAGGCATTGTAAGTTCTTTGTATAAAATAAACAGGTTCCCTTTGTGTTCACACTGAATGTCTACAGGAGAACAATGAATCAAATTCTTTAACTGAGCATCACATTCTATTCCACATCTCCAGAGTAATGGCAGCATAGAATCCCCTAATGAATCCACATGCATTTAATAAACTATATTGAATGTACTAATGGCAACTGGGATGAGTAATATGCTCTAAGCAAATGGAAGATAATCTGAATTTTAAAAAATATGTATTCTTTAATTTAATCCTATAACAATTCTATAGGTATACAATGACCTCATTTTATTAATGTGGAAACTGAGGGTCATGGTGGTTAATGTATTTGCTAAAATATTAACATACTTACTATTGCTTAAAACAAATGAAAGAAGGCACAGCTAATATTGGAATCTTGGCAGCTTAGGGTCAAAACATATTTGTCATTATCATTTATTATATCTTCTTGGTAATTGAAAAAAACATGAGGAATCAATCTTGATTGTATTAGAAAAACATGTAATTTACCACTACAAATTATAATTTTTAGGAATGACAGTGGGCTATTAACATTATCATGCTCCTAAGAGCTCATGGAAAAATAAACTTTAGGAGGGCTGAGTAGCACACATTGCCAGGCTCTAGCTCCCTTCTCTGGACTGAACAGAACTAGAGAACTACTAACAGCAGAATCTCAGAAAGCTTCAAAAAGGTAAAAGGCATTGACATCATTGCTCATTTTTCTGGCATTGTTCTTTAATTTCACTTTCATCTGACAGTGTGAGGTAAGAAAGTGTCCACAGAGATGTCAGGGCTTTCTAGAGAGCATAGAGAAATCTGGGGAGACAGATGTATTGTGTTACCATAGTGGAAAGCTATCCTTTATCCAGGAGGGAGAGTCCATTGAGGCACTGCTAGAACTTATATAAGGGGACTATAGAGGAAATTTTGATAACTTTTAAAAAGTTAACCATTAATTAACATTTTATTATACTACACAGAGACTGTGAGACAATTTGATATCTTTTTTATGTTTTTTTTTTTAATTTAGAGACAGAGCCTCTTTAAGTAGACTATGATGGTTTGGAACTCTCTATGTAGCCTAAGCTAGCCTTAAATACAAGACCCCTTTGCCTGCCGTCTAAGTTCTGGGATTATAGACTTACACTCCCATGTCCAGTTTGCCAATTCCAATTTTGTACAGTAAAGGGCAATCCTACAGATACTGCTGTTTCACAAGGGTAGTTTGAAACAAATAAGTAAACATTTTGCACAGTAGTTGGAACTTATTTTATTTTTTATGTTAAAAGTACATTTCATTGTTTTAGAATATTATTTTAAGATGTGTTACATTTGTTTGTGCTCTGAAACATTTGTTTAATGATGTAAAGATGTATTGCATTCTTTTATGTTGCATTTGTTTAACTCTGTGAAGCTATGTTACTATGCCTGTCTAAAACACCTGATGGTCTAATAAAGATCAGAATGGCCAATAGTGAGACAGGAGAAAGGATAGGTGGGGCTGGCAGGCAGGGAGAATAAATAGAAGAAGAAATCTGGAAAAAATAAGGAAGAAGAGTAAGAAGGATCAAGAAGGTGCATGTCAGGGGCCAGCCACACAGCCACACAGCCAGCCACAGAGTAAGAATGAAAGTAAGATACACTTACTTAGCTTGTGTAGCTGGGTGGCCCCTTCTTTTCTCACTCCTTGATCTTTTTTACTTAACCATCCCTCTTTTCTCACTCTATTTATTCTCTCTGCCTACCAGCCACTCCTATCCTTTCTCCTGCTTTGCTATTGGCCATTAGACACTTTATTAGACTGATCAGGTGTTTTAGACAGGCAAAGTAACACAGCTTCACAGAGTGAAACAAATGCAACATAAAAGGATGCAACACATCTTTACATCATTAAAACATGTGCTTCAGAGCATAAACAAATATAACATATTTTAAAGTAATATTCCACAAAAAAAAACATTTTAAAGGCCTTTGCAGATATGCCCAGGTAGTCATTGCATCAGAACATTTTTAAAATTCTAGTTGCTTAAGAAGGAAGAAATGTGAAATGCAGAGGATGTTCTAAGCTGATCATAGATGGTGTTTTTGTCAGGGTTCTATTATTGTGAATTAACATCATGACAAAGGCAACTCTTACAAAAGAAAATATTTAATTGATCTTTATTACAGTTTCAAAGATTTGGTCTATTATTGTGATGAGGATCATGGGAGCATAGAGACAGACATGATGCTAGAGAAGCAGCTGGGAGTTCTACATCTGGATCCAAAGGCAGCAGCAAAAGAGAATACTACTGGGCATGGCTTGGGCTTTTGAAACCTCAAAGGCCACTCCTAGTGACATACTTCCTATAACAAGGCAACACCCCTTGACAAATTGTTCTGCTTCCTAAGCATACAAATCTATGAGCCTATGAAGGCCATTCTTATTCAAACCAGCACATTCCACTCACCAGCCACATAGGCTTGCTGTCTATAACAGTCTCAACATTGATTAAAAGTCCAATGTCCAAGTCTCAAAACTCAAGGTAATCCCTTAATTGTGACCCTCTACAAAATCAAAACCAAAAAACAGATCATATACTTCAAATGTACAGCATTACAGAATATACATTACCATTCTAAAAAAGAGTAAATGGAGCATAGTGACAAAATACTGAACCAAAGAAAGACCAAAAACCAAATGAGCAAACTCCAAACACTGCATGTCTATGTCTAATGTCAAAGCAATCTTTAAATCTCTAATTCTTTTCAGCTTTGTTGACTGCAACACTTTTTCTCTTTTGGAATGGTTGCACATTCTGTTAGCAGCTCACTTTGGTATGTATTCCAGGACACTGGCATCTCCAACATCTCTGATCTAGATCTTCCAGAATTTCAAAAATGCAGACATTAAAAAGCTAATCCATTGCACTGTAATTTTCCAAGCTGAATTTAATAGGTATGTGTTTATCCTATATATAAATTCTTTACTTCCTTATTTATGAATGATGTTAATAAGATCACACAATTAAAAATAATCCATAATTAAGTAAGCTTGAAAAATATGCCATCTCTATTCTATGCCAAAACTCTAACATACCTAGAAATTAGATGTTACAATATATAATAAATATGTATCATTTAAATTTAAATATTGTGTTCTAAAATCAGTTATGCCATTGAAGAATGACCTTTCAGCACCTTTGTATCCTTTACAAATGTTAGAGAATAATCTAACTAACAGCTAGTTTATGGTCATATTTTTACATAATATCCTTAGTGTAATGTTAGTTGATTACTGTTCCTCATAGTGTCCTCACTGTGTTGGAAGAAGTCTCGTCATTTCTTACTTAGAAAGCTACTCCTCTTCACATACAACTGTAGATTTTGACCAAACCCATTAAACTTACTCAGGGAATTTACACCTATGTCCCAGACACCATCAATTAAAGACAAGCTCTAAGGATGAGTATAGGAATCTGTAGGACTGGAATGTTTCCCAGGTAATTCTAATATGAACCCAGGCCTAAGAATCAGAAACACAGGGCAATGGTTCTCAAATTTTCTTGAATGTAGCATGACTCCCATGGATACAGGCATTTGTAGAGCTGATGAGTTGTTCTTTAAACAAATCAGAACACCACATGATCTTGGTGTAGTTCTTCCATGGTTGTCCTTCAACATGTCAGGACATAGGCTAGACCTAGCACTCAACAGCAGGACAGTCAAGTAAGAATCCCATCTTCCTGAAATGGGGTGTGTGTGAATATTGAAACCTTCCCTATTTTGTTTCCATCTGCACACAAAAGGACTTTGAGATAATTCTACAATTATGGCAGCAAGGTCTTGATCCATTTTGAATGTCTCAGGTAGCCAGTAGATAGGGTAGGCATATACTCTGGCTATTAGCTTCAGCTGGAAGAAGAACAACTTGCTACTTTAGCAGTGTTCTTCTTTGGCAGTTCACAAATCTGACTTCTCATCACAATTGCTCTACATCTAGCATTTAGGAAAGTGATATGAAAACTCATGAACATAATTCAGTCAACATGGCCAAGCATCTGTATTTGGTAATAATTGAGTAGATCCCATCAGATCAAGCTTCATTAAATAACAACTACAAATTTGGGACAAAACATGGGAAAGAGCTACCACTAAAAGAAAACAAAATGCTAGAGCACTAAGTAGTAGTCATCACATATAATTAAAAACTAGTATGAACAAAGTTTAGCACTCAAGGTGGCTTTTAGCAAAATGGCTTCCCACTGTTGGCATGCAAACAGGCTTAAGTCAGAAGGCATTCCTAAGTCATGAAGGAACCAGGTGAAATAATACAAAGCACACTCACCCCCACCCATTGCAGTCCCAGTTGCAGGCCAGCAGGCAGGACTCCTGCAGGCAGGCTGGACTAAGACCAACCCCCACCAGACCCTGTAACCTACAAGCCCCACCTCACCCTCCAAACCCCCTCATCCTCCAAGATCACAGCTACTCTCCGAGACACAGACTCCACTGGCTGCAGTAAGACCATGAGCTCCCATTGGAACAAGAGTGCCAATTGGACCAAAAGAAGCTTTCTCAGACACAGTCACCATTTACACCAATTGAATAAAGAGATGGATAGAAGCCAGTGCAAAAACACATTTAACAACATAAAAAGCAATATGGTACCACCAGAACTAGTCTTTCTATATCAGCAAGACCTGAAAATCCCAACACAGAAGAAGCAGAGGAAATCAATCTTAAAAATGACTTGAAGGGAAGTAGTCAGAGAAGGAGGAGGACTTCAGGGGCCAACCACCCAGCTGCCATGGAGTAAGATTTACAGAAGTGATTGAATTATGCAGATATGAAGATCATCTTCTAGGTTTTTAAAAAAGGCCTCGGATATTTCAAGTGGCCATTTTAGAATTACAGTTCTGTTTTTTTTTTTCTTTTTTTGGGTAATTTTGCCCCAGAAGTTTATTAAAATTGACAAGAATCATCTCTGAAGTGAATTGATAGTAGTAAGCCAATTCAACGAGCTGCTAAAAGACCCAGTCATTTCTTCAGTATTTTGGTTCAAACGGATTATATAAGTGGTTAAAGTATTTCGTCTGGTGTTATTTTCGTCTCTTCCCCCTCTCCTGTTGGTGTTCTTCAGCCAAAACTGTAAGATATGTTTGATTTGTGTACTGAGTAGTTTCAAATTACTGTTTAAATATTGCTGAAGTTTCGTGGCAGTTCTTTTTACCTTTATTGAAAGTTTTAGTAATTTTTGACTTCGGCTCTTTTCCTATTACAATGGGACAGCTTTTCTAAATGAAGACATTGAAAGAATACAGAGTTTTTTTCCCTTTTCCCGTTTCTTTACTTGGGAGAGTAAGATGTTCCGGTGTCACACCAGCATGGTAGGATTGAGATAGCCATTTGTCTCTGTGTATGCTGATGTGTAGAAGTAAGCTTCAGATGTGAAGTTTTCTTTTTCTGCTTTCTGCACATAAATTGGATATTTCATCTGGAGTGGATAAGTACAACAGTGACAAATACATGGAATAATAAAGAAGACCTTGCTCTTGAATCCAAGGAACTTGGCTAATTCTGGATAGAGCCATATGAAAACTTCAAAACAAATATGGGTAGCTGACTTCAAATAACTCTATGTCAAATAGTCGTAGGTTAAGTATCTTCAAAGAACTTGGATATTTCAGAGGATACAAAATAAAAAAACAAACTGGAAAACATAAAGCTTATAGAGAAAAAACCAGCACCTTCCTGTGCAGTCCTCTTGGAATTTGGACTTGCCATGAGGTGTTGAAGCCTTGTTTCACTGAGTTGGAGAGACTGGACCTAAATGGCGCAGCATGACTTTGCTCCAGCCTGGCTTAATTTTCCTACTCCGCCATCATCAACAAAGTCATCATTGAATTTTGAGAAGCATTCTGAAAATTTTTCATGGACAGAAAATCGTTATGATGTGAGTCGTTGACGACACAACTCTTCAGATGGCTTTGATTCTGGTATTGGACGTCCTAACGGAGGTAATTTTGGGAGGAAAGAAAAAAATGGATGGCGTACGCATGGCAGAAATGGTACAGAAAACATAAATCATCGAGGGGGATACCATGGTGGAAATTCCCGGTCTCGTAGCAGTCTTTTCCATTCTGGAAAAAGCCAAGGACTACATGAAAACAGCATCCCTGACAATGACACTGGGAGGAAAGAAGACAAGAGAGAACGCAGACAGTTTGAGGCTGAGGACTTTCCATCTTTAAATCCTGAATATGAGAGAGAACCAAATCAGAATAAATCTTTAGCTGCGGGTGTATGGGGCCTACACGCCCAGACACACACATACCCAACCAAAAAAATCTCCCAAGCTCCTCTCTTAGAATATCCCCCGAATCCTAAATCTAGAGCTCCAAGAATGCTGGTTATTAAGAAAGGTAATACAAAAGGCTTACAGCTATCTGGATTCCCAGTAGCAGGAAACCTTCTGTCACAGCCAGTTAAGAATGGAACTGGTCCGAGTGTTTATAAAGGCTTAGTCCCCAAACCTGCTGTTCCACCTACAAAACCTACACAATGGAAAAGCCAAACTAAAGAAAACAAAATTGGGACTTCTTTTCCTCATGAATCTACATATGGTGTTGGCAACTTTAATACTTTCAAGTCAACCGCCAAGAGTATTAGTCCATCATCAAATTCAGTGAAAGAGTGTAATCGTTCAAATTCTTCCTCGCCTGTTGACAAACTTAATCAGCAGCCTCGTTTAACTAAACTGACACGAATGTGCAGTGATAAGAAGAGTGAGTTTTTGAAAGCATTGAAAAGGGACGGAGTAGAAGAGGAACATGAAGATGAGAGCCATGCTGGCTCAGAGAAGGATGATGACTCATTTAATTTGCATAACAGCAATAGTACTCACCAAGAAAGAGATATAAACAGAAACTTTGATGAAAATGAAATTCCACAAGAGAATGGCAATGCTTCGGTGATTTCTCAACAGATCATTCGTTCTTCAACCTTTCCACAAACTGATGTTCTTTCCAGTTCACTTGAGGCAGAACACAGATTATTAAAGGAGATAGGCTGGCAGGAAGACAGTGAAAATGATGAAACATGTGCTCCCTTAACTGAGGATGAAATGAGAGAATTCCAAGTTATTAGTGAACAGTTACAGAAGAATGGGCTGAGGAAAAATGGTATTTTGAAAAATGGCCTGATCTGTGACTTCAAGTTTGGACCCTGGAAAAACAGCACTTTCAAACCCACACTTGAGAATGATGACACAGAGACAAGTAGCAGTGACACGTCAGATGACGACGATGTGTGAAGGATTTCCTAACAGCTTTAGACATTTTAGTGTGATCCATCTCTCATGCCGTTTGGGGTGAATTGTAAAAATGAAGAACTATAATTTATGTAGTGAACTACCCCATTAGAAGATGATTTTTTTGGGGGACTTCAATATGAAGAAAACCAAGAATGTTGTGTTGGGCTGTGTTGAACATTATTTCTTTGTAAATGAATGTTGTAGAAATGAGGACTTTGGTTGATCCAACATTGACTCTCTTCATCACTGCAGCATTTCTCTGACTAGCAATGTGACGATGTAACAAATGAGATTTTCTCATTTAATAATAAAAAATTGTGTAATGTTTTGCAAAGCTTCTGTCTTAAAATGTTCAGGTCTTAAGGTCAAAGGCAGCTTACAGTTTTGCTTGCAGAGTCATACTTTCTTCCAACAGTGGAGACCTTCAACTCTACTTTGTGCACCTTCTTCCCCCACTTGCCCCTAAAACAAAACAAAACAGCAAAAAGGAAAACATAGCATGTTGGCTAAAACTGGAGCAAAGTGCACTAAAACATTAACTTCTCGAACTGAAGTCTTGTACTAAGTCACCTTTCAAAACCAATTGCTCTTTAGCCCTTTGTAGCACAGTGGATGGGAGAGAGGAGACGTGCCAGGTGTTCTTCCAGGCGTTCTTCGAGCTTTAGGAGGTGCTTGTCAAGAGCTTTCTTTATTTGGTGTATTGTCAGATCAGGATTTTCATAGCTGATTGGAAGACTTGTGGGAAAACTTATTTTGATAAATTATTACACATGCAGAAAACCTGATCACACTGACTGGATCTGTCCACAACATGGAAAATAAACTGGATTTTCAGGAAAAAAAATGACTTGAAGAAGATGATAGAGATCTGAGTAGTGGTGGCTCATGCCTTTAATCCCAGCACTCAGGAGGCAGAGGCAGGCAGATCTCTGTGAGTTCAAGACCAGCCTGGTCTACAAAGCAAGTTCCAGGATAGGCTCCAAAGATATACAGAGAAACCCTTTCTTGAAAAAACAGAAGAAGAAGAAGAAGGAGGAGGAGAAGGAGAAGGAGAAGAAGGAGAAGGAGAAGGAGAAGAAGAGGAAGAAAAGATGAAGAAAAAGAAGAAGAAGAAGAAGAAGAAGAAGAAGAAGAAGAAGAAGAAGAAGAAGAAGAAGAAGAAAGAAAGAGGCCTGTAAAGAGGAAATGAAAAATTCCCTTAAAGAAATTGAGGAAAACACAAGCAAAAAATTGGAAGAAATCAGTAAATCCCTAAAAGAAAGCCAAGAAAAAGCAATCAAACAGGTGAAGGAAACAGTTCAACACTTGAAAACTGAAATAGAGGTGATAAAGACAGAAATTGAGGGAATGCTGGAAATGGAAAATCTGAGAAAATGAACAGGAAGTACAGATGTAAGCATAACCAACAGATTGCAAGAGATGGAAGAGAGAATCTCTGGCATTGGAGATATGATAGAAGGAATAGATTAATCAGTCAAAGAAAACACCAAAGCCAAAAAAGTCATAACACAAAACATAAAGGAAATCTGGGATCTAAGAATAATAGGATAGAAGGAGAGGAATACCAGCTCAAAATCACAGAGAATATATTCAACAAAATCATAGAAGGAAATTTTCCCAACCTAATGAAGGAAATGCCTATGAAGATACAAGAAGCTTACAAATCATTAAATAGACTAGAACCCCAAAAATGTCCCCTCACCACATAATAATCAAACAAGTAAACAATCAGAATAAAGAAAAAATATTAAGAGTTAAAAGGAAAAGGGCCAAGTAACATGTAAAGGCAGACCTATCAGAATAATATGGAGACTATGAAAGCTGGAAGATCCTGGGCAGATACTATACAGACATTAATTGACCATGGATGCCAACCCAGACTATTATACCCAGCAAAACTCTCAATCACCATAGATGAGTAAACAAAATATTCCATGATAAAATGAAATTTAAACAATACCGATCCACAAATCCAGCCCTACAGAAAGCACTAGAAGGAAAAATCCAACCAAAGAAAGTAAGATGCACCCATGAAAACACAGGCAATAGATAATCCCACACCAACAAATACCAAAGAAGGGAAAAATTCAACAGTACAACCAAAAAGTAACAGAAATTAACAATCACTGGTCATTAATATTCATTAATATCAATGGACTCAATTTGCCTATAAAAAGACACAAGCTAACAGAATTGATACAAAAACATACTTCTGCTACATGTAAGAAACATATCTCAACTTCAAAGACAGATACTACCTCAGAGTAAAAGCCTGGGAAAAGATGTTCCAATAAAATGGACTCAAGAAGAAAGCTGGTATAGCTATCCTAATACCTAACAAAATAGGCTTTAAGCTAAAATCAATCAAAAGAGATAAGGAAGGACATTAGATATGCATTACAGGAAAAATCAACCAAAATGAAGTCTCAGTTCTGAACATTTATGCCCTGAATACAAGGGTACCCACATTTGTAAAAGAAACATTACCAAAGCTTAAAGAACACATCAAACTCCACACACTAGTGGTGGGAGACTTCAACACCCCACTCTCACCAATGGACAAGTCTGCCAGACAGAAACTTAACAGAATAATTAGGGAACTAAAAGATATTATAAATCAATTGGACTTGATAGTTATCAACAGAACATTCCACCCTAACACAAAAGAACATACCTTCTTCTCAGCATACCATGGAACATTCTCTAAAATTAACCACATACTAGGTCACAAAAATAATTAGAATAACCTCCTGTATTTTATTGGACCACCATCTAAAGTAAGATTTAACAACAAAATTTACAGAAAGCCTACAATCTCATGGAAATTGAATAATGCTCAACTGAATCACCAATGGGTCAAAGAAGAAATAAAGAAAAGAAATTAAAGACTTCCTAGAATTCGATGAAAATGAATGTACAACATACCCAAACTTATGAGACACTATAAAAGCAATGCTAAGAGGAAAATTCATAGCACTAAATGCCCACATGAAGAAGTTGGAGAAATCTCACACTAGTGACTTAACAGCACACCTAAAAGCTCTAGAACAAAAGGAAACAAACTCACCAAGGGGAATAGATGCCAAGAAATAATCAAATTGAGGGCTGAAATCAATAAAATAGAAACAAAGAGAACAATACAAAGAATCAATGAAACGAAGAGTTGGTTCTTTGAGAAAATCAACAAGATAGGCAAGCCCTTATCCAAATTAACCAAAAGGCAGAGAGAGAACATTCAAATTAACAAAATCAGAAATGAAAAGGGAGACCTAACAACAAAGGAAATCCAGAGAATCATCAGGTCATACTTCAAAAACCTGTACTCCACAAAATGGGAAAATCTAAAAGAAATGGACAGTTTTCTGGATAGGTATCACATACCAAAGTTAAATCAAGACCAGATAAACAATTTAAGTGGACAACTAAATCCTAAGGAAATAGAAACAGTCATTAAAAGTCTCCCAAGCAAAAAAAGCCTAGGACCAGATGGTTTTAGCACAGAATCCTACCATATTTTCAAAGAAGAGCTAATACCAATATTCTTCAAATTGTTTCACACAATAGAAACAGAAGGAACATTACCAAACTCCTTTTATGAGGCTACAATTACCCTGATACCGAAGTCACAAAAAGATGCAACAAAGAAAGAGAATTACAGACCAATCTCTCTCATAAACATTGTTGCAAAAATACTCAATATAACTGGCAAACTGACTCCAAGAACACATTAAAAAAAACTTGTGTACCATGACCAAGTAGGCTTCATCACAGAGACGCAAGGATGGTTCAACCTATGAAAATCTGTCAATGTAATATACCATATAAACACACAGAAGGAAAAAATAAACACATGATTCTCTCATTAGATGCTGAAAAAGCCTTTGACAAAATCCAAAACCTTTTTAATGATAAATGTCTTGGAGATATCAGGAATACAAGGAACATACCTAAACAAAATAAAAGCAATTTACAGTAAGGTGACACCCAACCTCAAATGAAATGAAGAGAAACTCAAAGCAATTCCACTAAAATCAGGAACAAGACAATGTTGTCCACTCTCCCCACATTTATTCAATATAGTACTTGAACTTCTAGCTATAGCAATAATACAACAAAAAAAGAGATCAAAACAATAGAAATTGGAAAGGAAGAAGTCAAACTTTCACTATTTGCAGATGATATGATAGTATACTAAGTGACCCCAAAAATTCTACCAATGAACTCCTACAGCTGAAAAAAAAAAAAAACCCTCACTAATATGGCAGGATATGAAATTTGTAGGGCCCCCTGTTTTGGGTAGCTGTTGCTCTGCTTGCAGACCTTGACTACATGTCTTCTCTATGCTGATTCCCTGCCGGTTTCCTTCCTCCTGAATGCTCACTGGAGGTTCTTTGTTTGTGTACCCTGCATTTGGTGTAAACAGTTAGATGCAAGAATGTAGAACATCAGTAGAGAACTTTTGCCCTCCGGGGGTTCTCCCATTGTGCTGTAAGCCTGTATTTAAGGTTTCCTCCCTCCTTCAATAAATGGCATTTGGCATTCTGCTGAGATGAATGATTCGATTAGCTGTCTCTTGTCTCTGTTTTCAATCCACAGCCGCTCGCTTGGACAAGGTGAATGAGTGGTGGTAGTATGGGTGTTACTGCTACAAGATTAACTAAAAAAAATAATTAGCTCTTCTATATACAAATGATAGATGGGCTGAGAAAGAGATCAGAGAAATATTACTCGTTACAATAGCCATAAATAATATAAAATACCTTGGGGTAACACTAAGCAAGTGAAAGACCTGTATGACAAATTTAAGTCTCTGAAGAAAGAAATTGAAGAAGATATCAGAAAATGGAAAGATCTCCCATGCTCATGGATAGGTGGGGTTAGCATAGTAAAATGGCAATCTTACCAAAAGCAATCTACAGATTCAATGCAAAATCCCAACACAATTCTTCACAGATCTGGAAAGAACAATTCTCAACTTCATATGGAAAAACAAAAAACCCAAGATAGCTAAAACAATCCTGTACAATAAAGCCACCTCTAGAGGCATTACCTTCCCTGACCTCAAGCTCTACTATAGAGCTATAGTAATAAAAGCAGCTTGGTATTGGCATAAATACCAATTGCATAAATACCAACAAGTGGACCAATGGAAATGAATTGAAGACACTGACATTAATCTGTACACCTAAAAACACCTGATTATTGACAAAGAAGTGTACAATGGAAAAGTGTACAATGGAAAAAAGAACGCATCTTCAACAAATGGTATTGGAATCAAAGACCTCAACATAAATCCAGTCACACTGAACATGATAAAAGAGAAAGTAGGAAGTAGTCTTGAACACATTGGCACAGGAGACCATTTCCTAAATATAACACCAGTAGCACAGACACTGAGAGCAACAGTTAATAAATGGGACCTCCTGAAATTGAGCAGCCTTTGGCAATAAGGCAAAGGACACAGTCAACAAGACAAAATGATAGCCTACAAAATGGGAAAAGATCTTCACCAACTCCACATCTGAGAGGGCTGATCTCCAAAATATGTAAATAACTCAAGAAACTAGACAGCAAAATACTAAATGATGCAATTAAAAGTTATATATAATTTTACTATATTAAAGTTAAAACCTTCCCTTTTGATTAGACAGAAAAGGGGAAGTACTGTGGGATACCTTTCTGTAGGCTGTGAATATATGCTGTTCCCATTGGTTAGTAAATAAAGCTGTTTTTGGCCTATGGCATAAAGCTTACAGCCATGTGGGAAATTCAAGGGAGATACAGAGAGAAGGGTGGAATAAGAAAGATGCTGAACTGCAGCTACCAGATGTTTTG